ACATAATATAACCAACCAGGTTCAAATCAGGGCAGTGACTTCGATTCTCTGTTGTGACTAAGCAGAAGAAAGTGTCACAAGAAAACATATAGAGAAATACCAACGAGAGAAAGTTTCCAGGTGTTTAAGCCGTTTAAACTTCATCTTTTGACCATGTGTAGATCTCAATGAGTTATGAAAGAGCTGAAAAGGATTCATTCCCTCGTACCTTTATCTCTGAGATATTGAATTTTCAAGATATGATATAAGAAAACGAGAATAAAACGATCAATGACTCTTTTTGAGAAAAGTAAAACATTAAAGACTGAAGCTTTTTTCCCGTCTTATGTGTTCTTTGTCCGATTTGTTTTGATTGAAGAGCTAGATATAAATTTATTTATAACGATTCTATTCATTATTCATGAATCCAAAGAGTACACAAAATTCTTATTTTTTTTTTTTTGATATCATTTTAAAATAATGATTCTTGATAGATAGTCGAGAATGATACATTATCCGCCCTATTGCTTGTCTCTGTCGTTGTTTGCAAACCACTTCGTTCCTGTAATGAATGCTATGCGCTTACACTCTTTCTTACATACTCTACTAGATGTGTGTTGCTTCGCCCTGTCATGCAGCGCCTTTCATCTGCTGTAGCTGGCGCCGCAAACCACTGTGTTTCACTCATTTTCAGTAGACAGATTGTTGTGTTTTAAAATGATATAAAATAAATAAATAAATAAATAAGAATTTTGTGTACTCTTTGGACTTATGAATAATGAATAGAATCGTTATAAATAAGTTTATATCTAGCTCTTCAATCAAAACAAATCGGACAAAGAAACCCATAAGACTGGGAAAAGCTTCAGTCTTTAATGTTTCACTTTCCTCAAAAAGAGTCATTGATCGTTTTATTCTCATTTCCTTTATCATATCTTGAAAATTCAATATCTCAGGAACAATCCTTTTCAGCTCTTTCATAACTCATTGAAGCCTACTTATGACCAAAAGATGGAGTCTAAACGGCTTAAATACCTAGGAAACTTTCCTCGTAAGATCAAACGTTCGGAATCTATTGACCAGTACCTTATTCACAACAAAAGAAATAAGAATCGAAGGCAGCAAAAGCTAAGAATAAAAGTTTACTGTGTCTCTAATTAGACTTTTGCAATATTGATTTAGTTTTGATAAAAAAATAAAGATAAATAATGCTAATAAGAAAGAGAGTTATGACTTGATTTAATATAGCATACAAATCACGTTGAATAGAAATACACATAGATGCCCTTCTCTCCATTGATTGGTCGTATCCCTGTACAGAAAAGACATCTTTCATCAAAACATTTGTTTTCTTCCTATAGCCTCTCACATGAAAAGATCAGAACAGAATTTCATATCCCAACATATCAAATGAAGAGGATAGTAATCAGCGACCATTGTGAATTACCTATAAAGATATTATCTAAAGTTTCTACTGGTGTGCATATGAATAATCATCATTCTCTCTTACTTATGATCAGCTTACAAACTGTAAATTTGCTATCAACATCATACATACATTACTGAACTCAAAAAGTAAGATAGAGCATACAAATATTTCACATCAGAATGATAACAGTGGTGCTAAATATTTTTAGTTGCCACATCCCAATGATTCTTTTGAAAGATGTGTCGTGAAAAATAATTTTAATGACAAAATAAACGCACGTCTCCGATAAATATATATATTGAAAAGAAGATAATAAAAATAGAGTATTAATGAAACGGAAAAAAACCTGCAAATCGATTGTTAGTAAAAAGAAAATAGAAATTTTTTGAAATTGTACATAATGCTTGATGATATCCTTTTTTAACGAATATTGTTGAATGTCGTTGTTCCTATAATAAAAAATAAAATAAAAACATTTATATCGTTCAGAATATTTTCTATGAAAAAGATTTACCTGTTTATTTGCCTCTCTCTTTTGGTGGGTCTGGTTGTGGGTTAAAACGCTTCACCTGCAAATGACGAAGAAGTTTGCTTTCACCGATTTCTGCCAACGATGGCTTGAGAATTATGGTCAGGAAGGCCAACAGTAATAGTAGTTGCATTGCAATTTTGTGTAGATTCATGTTTTAGTAACAATAATAATAGATGCAGACTTGCAATAATTGTTTTTACTCGACTTTGATAATGTTTGTAATTATGTGAAAATGGGACTTAGTTTTATAGCTATGATATTGTGTGACGAGAAAAAATAGAGCAAAACATTCTTTTTCTTTCTCTCTGAATCTGACGTTTGAAACCAACCAAGCATGATCAGCGTGCGCATTAGCACAAATTATGTGTAACTAAGTCGGTCATGACTAACGTGAGTCATATAAAGTCGAGAATAGCATATGACGTGTATACACATCATATCGATTAATTTTTTTCTCTTATCTATGTTTATTTTCACTACGACCGTCAAAGAAAAAAACAAACCTTTAAGCAAATTTTGAAGCCTCTCTTCTTTATTTATCAGCAAAATGTTCGCTAGTATCGGCATATTCGTACGGTGTGTCATACATAAAATTGCGAAATAGAAAGAAATAGCTTATTAGTGATAGAGAAGGATGACGCAAATGAGGGTCTTCTTTCTCTCATGCATGACACACAAAAATATGTATGTACACTGAATACATAAATATTTATACGCAGGAATGGTATAGTTTCTAATGAAGAAAGGAGCAATCGTTTAGGAATCACTGTTATAGAATAATAACTAAGAACTTCGGTTAAGCCGAGTCGAAATAGATCTGAACATGGTGACACATCACTACTGCTTGTTGAGATGGGACTGGGCACTTTCAAATTGGTCGATGTTATTCACATACAATCGCAGTTTTTGTTTGCTAACGCATACGTACAGCGAGAAAGCAAGAGTGATAAGCAGAAATGATAGAATGATTGAGCGCTATGTTGATATACAACTGATAGTGTACATTAATATCCTCTTATCGCACTTCTCCTGATTACGATAAATTCAGAAGCACGGATCTTCAAAATATTATCTCTATCGTGCTTTATGTTTAGGACATCTTTTTAATTAGAGAGGCAGTGTTATGCATTTTATAAAGTCGATTGAACAAAGGAAATTTTGAATATGATTAAATCTGATTTTTGTCATTTTTTTTCTTACCAAGTCGATGTATTTAGATGAAAATATTTGGACACCAGAAAATTTTCAAAATGTGTGAGCTACTTTACTCAATCCAAGTGCATTTGTCTAGTTCCGAAGTGTAAATTTTCAGATGAAATAACAAATCATTCAAAAGTCTTTGGAAAAATGATAGAACTGATTTCGAAACATCGCATAGACCTTAGATTTTTTGTTTTTATTTGAAAGAGTAAAGCTTAGAGAATTGAATAAGCTCACGTAGAGAAAATTGACACTTTCGGTTATATTACAACAAAATTGAAATACAGAACAATGCTCAAGATGTCTTTGCAATCTGATCTATTTTTCGATATTTACAACAAAATCTATTCGGTCAAAGCGGATTATTCTTGAAAGAAATACAATTTTTGTATTGAGAGGGAGCTATTTAATCTGAAGTACTATTTTATGAATATTCAAAGCTATTTAAATATCGCTTGGTTAATTAAGAGAAGTCCATCGAAAATTTTGCTAGAGACATATAACATGCTTAAATTTTGAATTCGACTTTAATTATGTTTATACGATAGTCTTTATTGAGAAATTTCGGTGATCAAAGTTCTAGATCAAACAAATGCTTTCTTACTGAGATATGAGATTTTCAAAAAAAAACGACCATTTTCAATTTCCTCCAAAAAATGGATAAACCTTATTTCGCTTTTTTTTCGGTCATTTTTTGATTGTTTTTTTTTTCGATCAATATCTCATTGTAATGAGAAAAGAATTTTGAACAAGATGAGATACTTTTCATATCTCAAAGATGATAGTTCAAAGCCCGAAACTCCAAACTAAAAATCTGGATTTTGGGATTTTATCGAAACAACGCAGTGATAACCCTTTTGACCACAAATTATATAAGCCTATCTTGTAGAGGGTGTGAATGTGGGTGGACGTGAGTGTATTGTCCATTTCCGACGTAAATGGTCGTGGCCATTTTTTGAATAACTTTTGATCGGCTAAGTCTATCGAGCTCGGCGTTATGTAGTTGGAAAGAGCGAACTCTGAAGCTTCTTTCTGTACGATTCATTTAAGTCCACAGCCACTTTTTTTATGACTGTTTATGCTTCAATATGTTGTTTTTTTTTGGTCTTTTTTCAACGAATTTTTTCGACATTCTAACTCCCATTATACCAAATTGTAGCCTGAATTTCGCTGTATATATGGTAACATTTTGACATCCTCATATCGTCTTTTTAATCGCTTGTCTTCAGTAAGGTCACTTTGTTGTATAATAAATTTACCGTACCCACAGCAACATTTCGGCTACAATCTGGTATAATGGAGGTTAGAGTGTCGAAAAAATTCATTGGAAAAAGAGAAAAAAACAACATATCGAAGCATAAACAGTTGTAAAAAAGTGACTGTGGACTTAAATGACTCGTACAGAAAGACGGCTCAGAGTTCACTCTTTCCAACTACACAACGCCGAGCTCGATAGACTTAGCCGATCAAAAGTTATTCAAAAAATGGTCACGACCATTTATGTCGAATATGAACAATAGTTCTTCTCTTTACTCACACCCACATCCTAAACGCTACTAAATTCCTTTTTCACATACCATTGATATCATTTTTGATGGCTATAAACCTTCGAAAAAACTCTTTTATAAACTCTTGCTACCGTTTCGGATACTTATAATCCTTTCACATACGTTTTCATGACTGATATGGAAGAGTATATTGTTTCCATATACAGCTTGGTAAAAGTGTTAAAGTTTATACAAAAGGATTTTCGAAGCTCATTAACCTTGAAAAATCATTTATGAAAGTGCAATGTATAACAAACAGTTAAAAGATTTATTGGTATATTAAAGCTTGTCATAAACACTGCATAAATGTTATTTAAATTTCATGAACCCTTTAATATACTATTTTTAGAAGGTATATGAAAGGGTTTAGGAATGCTACATAAACGGTAAAAAAAAGTTTATTACATATTGCACTTCCATAAATGCTTTAAAGGTTTATTATTCTACGGTTTTTTTACGGTGTAGGACCCAACTGATCAAGGGGCTTGTTATCAGCACAGACCGGTTATAGATTTCAACCGGCAACTTTCTAGCAGTTTTTACCAGTTGAAAAAATGTTTTAACCTGTCGTCTTTATTTTTTTGAATGGAGAAAGACTGTTCTTCTTGGCAATAACAACTACCTATTTTCCAGAAATAGCATTTTTTATCAGAAGCCTTTCTGATTTAGTTCTATAGTAGTTCGACTAGGCTATAACTTTTTCAAATCGAAATACACAGCAATTTATTATCGATCAATAATTTACTCTTAGTAGTTCAGAGATAATTCGAAACTTAAGCAGTTAAAAGATATACAACTGGATCTCAATTCCTAGCTGTGTGCGTCAGTTAGATGGTTTAACGCGTTTTTATGAATCGAAATTACGCTGAATTTATTAGAAATAAATGAAGTATTCATATAGGGATAGGGAGAGAAGACCAATACATTCCTCTTCTTAGGTAATTGTAAAAATATCGAACAACTGTAATAGAATATAAAAAGTAGATCAAGAAAAGATGACAAATCGAAGAAGGAGACAGAAGAGTATATGAAGAGAGAAAGAGAACGATAAGTAGGACAATATATATATGTGACGATCGAGAAATACTATATAACAGCGCCCTTTACACATAAGTGTAGTTTTTGTCAATCAATCCATGTGCTTTCATCTCTTTCCAAAAATTTGACGGTATAACCTCATTTTTCGCTGCTGCCATATCTAAATTCTCTTTAACACAGTTGACATCTATAGTATTTAAGGCAATACTCTTAACTCCTGGTGCATTTAGCCCAAATATGATGCATACTTGAGCCGGTTTAATTCTGTATTTATCGCATAGTTTAAAAAAATCTGCACGCCACCTGAAAAATTGTCGATCGTTCATAGGATGCATCAACCTGTAATTATAATAATCTTCGCCAATTAAAAAGCCACCATTAAACACTGCTGCATTAATAATGATTGTTCCACGTTGTTGTAGTTCTTCCATAAAAGTAACTAGTTCTTGAGGATGACTGTGTACAGTCATACTATTGGCAATCATTACCCAATCTAAATTAACATCGTTTACAATACGTTGTATCATTCTCCAATCTTTTGATCCTATACCAATAGCTTTGACTTCATCTCGACTCTTCAATTCACAAAGTGCTCGATAAGCTTCAATGATATCACTGTAACGTTTGTCCTTTTCTAACTGACTTTGAGCACCGGCAACATACTCATCTGGATCATGTACCGACACAAGTTTAGCCTTGTAACCATTCAACAGCTGATTGCCTTGTTCATAGCATTCAAGTATACCTTTGTAGCTTATCTTCTGTACTGCATCATATTTCAAATTACGCCATACTCCAGATTCAAATGTAGGTTCTGTGCCACTTTGAAGTTCAGTAGTTCGATACCAGCCAAGTTTATTACTGATCAGTACATCTTCTGGCTTTATATTTAACATTTTCAAGCAATTTCCCAATGTTTCTAAAGCTAATCCAGCACCATATTTTCCAGCACAGTCAAATACGACCGGTTTTTGTCCTGAGCTGTATTGTATACATGCTGTAACAATTTCAAGTTTAATTTTATCTTCAAGTGCCACATATAAATTTCCTAGTCCACTAGTTCCAAAGATTACTTTCGGTAATGTTATTCTTTGTGACATCTTAAGAGAAAGGCAGATGGATAAGGTAGCTTTTTAGTACACAATATATCTGAAGTTCATATAGATATTCGAAATTAGTGTTGGATTCTGAAAAGTTTTAGCCCATGTAACTGATTCCTCAAAAATATTGAAAAATCGATATTCTCAAATTCTAAAGAAATAAACCACACTAGAGTCAGAATTGCATGTTGACCACGAATATCGAGTCGGAATTTTTTAAAAAATTGTTTTTTAATGAGAAAACCTGGTTGTTTTGTGGGATGATATAAGTGAGCTAACTGAATAAATGCCGGACTGCGGTTGAATGACATAGTTCGTTGACATTCAAAACTAGCTAAGTCTGCTCAAAAATGAATTGGCTTTCCAAATGTGACTAAAAACTGCATTAAATTAATATTTTTCAAAGTAAAAGACATTTTCAAATCAAAAAAGTAAGAAAACATGTAATTTTCTTCAAGTCATAGTCCTTTTATTTGATAACGAAGATAAGCTTCAATGAAAAAAGTTCACAGACGTATGTGGTTTTCGATTCTCTATAGAATAGCGCTTGAATGAACTTTCCAAAATTGGATCTTTTTCAGAAAACACAGTTTCCTCAAATAAAATGTTTTGAGAAATCCTCTAAGAATTGTATTATGTCTACTGAAAAAGACCATTGAAAACTGAATCAAATGATATACAGTTCATATATCCCTTAGTTTCTTCTATCGAGTGATCTTATATGCAAAATAGCTATTTTTTTTCACTGAAAGATTTGCCCGGCAAATGTCGACACTTCTGTCTGATTCAAAAATTACGGAAAAGTTTCAGCGATATACCATTTGGTTCAGTTTTCGATGCTCTTTTTAATTGCAAATAAAAAAGAGTTACGAAAAATCAGACTTGATATTTTCAACAAAGTAAAGTGGCTATTTTGTTCAGAACTTGGCGCTGATTCTGAATATTTATATGGCTTTCAGGAATATTGTATATTGAAAAGCTGTCGTATGTACCTTCCTCCTTTGATAAGGAGTAAACACATGTTGATTGATGAAAGGAGAGAGGCTATTCATTTTAAAACTATTAGTCCCGTATTTCAGACAGATGTTCAGCAGAAAATCAAGCGATACCACTGTAAATCGTTAGATGTTGGCCTATATACTGGCCCAGACTATTTTCGTTTCATTCTGCATGAAAGTCGTGGTTATAAAAACGTTTAACTAGTCTTCAATTAGGAAAGTACCATTGTCAGAAATTCGAGAGTTGTTAACTTATGATCATCTATTTATGCGCACCAGATCAAAAACAAAAAAACTACATCAATCTGTGCATTTGACGATTTTCGAAGCTTCGCATAAATCCTTATTCAAGAGTTACTCTATTTTTCAAAACTAAATCTCTGATAGAGGAGGTTATTCTATAAAAGATCCACTGAAAGAATTTTTGATGTCAGTATATGATTTTCCTGTATAGGTTCTTTTACATTCCAATAACTACGGATATATTTAGGTTAACGAACAGATATAATCTAAGGTCATTTAAGATGAAGTGCAAGAAATTTGTTCTAGCTATTTATGTAAGGACAATCAGTGATGGACCGAAATCATAACGTTTAAAGGGATAATAACAGCTTTCCTCCGAAAATTTGATATATAGAAGATGTTTTTTAGGTAATACAAGCTAAAAACTTTTTTCTTTGAGGGAAAGTTGACTCTAAATGACTCGCTATCGTCTCGTCATTGGGCCTTTGTAGATTCTGTTTTTAAATTATTGTCCTAGATGTCCCTCGAATATAGGTCAAATAAAGTCAGACTTTTCCTCGTTGTAAAAAACAGTTGATGAACACTTTTTAGATCTGTAAATTAAATTAATGTCTCATAGGTGATCTAAATGGTTGTGCTGGAATGTGCAGTATTAATGCTAACAATTTACCTAACAGCACGGAAGAAGAAAGGTAGTGTTTAGTTTTTGAATACGTTTTGATAGAAAAAAAAACTTAGAGATTTGCAATTTTCCCTATTGAATAGCAAGATATTATCTCTAAAGTCTGCGAAAAAGCCCAGCTCTAAGCAGCACGAGTAGATAATAAATCACATCAAAATTTGAAACTGTGGGTAGACAGAGGACTACACAAAGTGGAATTATAATTTCTAAATAGGCTGTTTGGCAGTTCTGTAGCTGTTATGCAAAACTATACAAGTTCTAAGTCTTCGCCTATCTCGATCCCTCAGTAATAAAGCATTCTTGGGAAAGACACCTATCTCGGTTCGACATTTCAGAGAACTCCAAAAATACATTACATATCTAGGCTATGTTTGATTTCATCTCTACTGAAAACAAGCTTATAAATTCCATAACTGACGCTTCTTTCATTTGGAGAGAAAAAAATTATGCCATGATGATCAGCATGGAGGATCACAAACATCGGAAATATTTTTGGAGTTATTCGAAGTGGTCTAACCGAGAAAAGTAATTTTGCGGAGAATGTTTATAGCTGTGGAATTGAGATAGGTAGAGACTTGTAGAATTCTAGAATAGTTTCTAGACTATCGACTCCACTATTGAACATTAAAAAAATGAAATGCATATGCTTTTCTGACAAATTATCCTCTCAAATTTAGTTTACTACTTACGGATCTTGGCTATTCAGTAACGAAAACTGCAGACTTCTACCTCTTTCTATCGAAAATTATCCAAGATATAACTATCATCGATGCTTGATGCCGTGTAATGAAATATGATGGGAGTAGTAAAAGTTACTTCTATCTTATCTATTGTAGGTCTTTATTAATGATACACAGGGAAGAAAAGAAAAACACTTTGTGGACACCTATGTGCACACAGAATGAAAGACAGATAACGATAAATGAGTAAAGCAGGTAAATAATAAACAAATTCACATTTATCTCTAAGAAACAGAACAGAATCTGTCGAAAGCTACATATCGGAATGCTGACACAAAGATGTTGTTTGAAGGGTGTGTGACGGTGTGAGTGTGAGTATGGCTGTGGATGTGATTGTAGGTGTTGGGTGGGTGGGGTATGGATGTAGGTATATGGTGTTGTTGTGGATCTTCTCTGACTCCACATCTACATTGACACCCCATTCACACCCACATCCTCAAGTTTGAGCAAAATCATTGTCATTGGCCTTTAAACAGGATTTGGGTATGAGTGTGAATGCGGTGTTAATGTGTGTATGGGTAGGAGTGTGGATATGGCTGCGTTTGTGGATATGGAAGTGGATGTGAATCTTCTATTCTATGGCAGCCAGACTTAGACCCACACCTCTGAAAGTCTAAACCTTTAATCAATGTTCTGAATCTAAATAATAAAAGTTTATTGAAATGTACGACGAAA